ATCTTTCAACTGGATGGGTATTTTCCTAGTGTCTTTCAACAGATTCCACCTTCCCCCACCAATATCTTTCAGTTGAGGGGGGCGGGTACCTGTTATACACTGCCAAATGAAACTCAGAACCATCAACCAATACAAGAGAGCCAAGAATCAGGACAGACTCACCCAAATTGTCTGGAGTTTCCAAGGAGGTGGATAGGTACAGGAGGCCTCTGCTGATACCAGTATGCCAGTTCCTTGTAGAGTTTAGATAAAGGAGAGAAGTTCCCCTCAGGTCCCTTCATGGTCGTCAAAACTATGGACTGGAAAATAAAAATGCACGTGAAAGTTGTGAGTTCAATTTCATTTGGGGTAAATGAGGACTATAGCCCAGAAGATAGTCTCTCAGATAACTCTGAAGAACTGTTCTGAAGAGGTAAAGAGAGAGGTCAGTATACATGTGAGATTGGTCAAGCACACATTTTGGCAGAATGTTGTTGCTAGTCATGAGGAGTAGATGTTTCCATTAATGATTTTAGTGATTCTCTAGATGTGAGAAGATATAACAAATCAGGTTCATAAAAATCTTCTCCTGACAAAGTCTAACTATCTGAAGGCCTGTTGTGCTAGTTTTTCCTAGAGCACAGAATGCCTCATTCCTGATCTCTACCCTAAACTCCTTTCAGGGTGTATTGAAGGTCAGCAACTGCAGTGGCTAGAGACTTCATTTTTGTAGTGCCAGACGGCGTGACAATTTTCAGTTGACACCACACACTAGCTGTGTGAACCTGCACAAGCATTCATCTTTGAGAATGTTTTCTACAGTGTAAAATGGGGATAATACCTATCTCACAGGACTTGCATAAGGTTTAAATGAGAAAATATATATGAAGTACTTCAGATGGTACCTAGAAAATAATAGACTTAACTAATGGTAACTATATTAGAAAGAGTCTTAGTTAGGTTTTAAGAATTCAGAAATGTAGCTTCATATGGCCCCCCAGTCATGTAGGTGGAACTAAATTGGGAGTAGTAAGTGAGAAGAAGTGACAGATATTTGGGGAAAAGATACATTTCTGGAGTTAGGGATTAAGAAGGACAAGCTTCAGGATTTAGGAGATATAGAACAAAGTGTCTACAATATTGGAAGAAACAAATAGATTTTATTTGTTTTGTTGTTGTTTTCAAGATTCAGAAGGATTAATAGGGGGAACTCTCAACACTTGGGGAAGAGATAGAGGAGGGAGGAAGTACAGCAAGTGAAACCTTGAAGGCCTCTATGGGTCTGCTGTGGGGCCCTCCCAGGCACAAATCCTTTCCATGTCCCCAGGTTCTTGTCTATAAGAAATAGGCATCACTCAGCCTCTTTGACCTTCCCTAAATTCCAATGGGCAGATTCAAACAGTTGCTGATCAGGGAAGAGATGGATTGAAGAAAGAAAGGAGGAGCAATCAAGAAACAGTAGTGCAGTATGGGGCAGTTACTCCTTGGAAGGAAAGTTATGACCAACCTAGACATATATTAAAAAGCAGAGACATTACTTTGCCAACAAAGGTCCATCTAGTCAAGGCTATGCTTTTTCCAATAGTCATGTATGGATGTGAGAGTTGGACTGTAAAGAAAGCTGAGCGCCAAAGAATTGATGCTTTTGAACTGTGTTGTTGGAGAAGACTCTTGAGAGTCCCTTGGACTGCAAGGAGATCCAACCAGTCTATCCTAAAGGAAATCAGTCCTGAATATTCACTGAAAGGACTGATGTTGAAGCTGAAACTCCAATACTTTGGCCACCTGATGAGAACAGCTGACTGATTTGAAAAGACCCTGATGCTGGGAAAGATTGAAGGCAGGAGGAGAAGGGGATGACAGAAGATGAGATGGTTGGATGGCATCACCGATAGCATCAATGGACACAGGTTTGGGTGGACTCCGGGAGTTGGTGATGGACAGGGAGGCCTGGCGTGCTGCGGTTCACGGGGTTGCAAAGAGTCGGACACAACTGAGTGACTGAACTGAACTGAGATGAATTTAAACCTAAACCACCAACAGGTGTTTCATCACAAAATTCCAGGTGCATGTGGTTACAGGAATATTTTCTTAATCTATACATTTAAAACTGTTCCAATCCCATTCTGAATGCTTTGATTTTTGAAGACTCAGGAATAGTTCCATTTTTTTTTAAATTTATTATAGGTTCCTTATTTTGCAAATATATTAGACCTGGCTTCAAAGAGCAGGCAAGTATCTTGTATGATATTTAGCCAATCCATAATAGGTAAATCTGGCTGTAGCTGTCCTGAGAGAGACAATGGAAATATTAACCACTCTTAGGTGGAGCTTGGGAGTGTAAGCAGATAGGGTAGGATGGTCGTTGAAGAAGAACCAGGCATGGCTTTCTTGACTAAAGCCATTTTGTGATCTAAGCCTGGCCACAATGCTTGCCCTTGAGCAGGTCTCAGTAATTAATGATCTTAAGAGAAGAAAAGAATGAAGAAACATTGCCTGTTATTAGGCAAGAGAAGTTGTAAAGACTCCCGTTCTCTTTCAATGACAAAGATTAACCTGAAGTGCTCAACAACCAGATATACTGGAACCTAAAGGATAAAGATGTTGAGCTTTTATAAACTATGACTTCAAGCAACTAAAGCTTGAACTCTGTCAACCACCCAAGCCCTTTCATGAATATGCTTAAAACTTCCCCAATTTTGCAGTTCTGGGAGACACTGCTTTAAGGAAGATCCCCAAGGTTCTCCTTACTTGCTGCAAGTAATAAATCCTTCCTACTCTCTCTTTGACTTGGTTGGGTCTTGTGGCTCAACACCCACCAAGAGGTGAACTCAGTATGGAGGCTCCTGCTAGCTTTAATCCACTGGGCTTTAATCCAGTCACACTGTTATGAAACAGGGGCTCTGAAGAAATTGCTTGGGTCACTAAGGTCAGCGACTCATAAAGTTCCAGCACCCTCAAGGTATCCTCTCTCCCTTGACCTTAAGGTCAACAGGCTAAAGATAAAGGAGGCCTCTGTGCTTCCCACCTCAGGGGCAGGAAGGAGAACAGGAATGCTTCAAGAAGGCTTATGCAAATATGTCTTGAAACAAACTTGGAAAGATCAATGATTCAGAATGAGGTAAGAAAACTTGTTGAGGCAAGTCCCATTCAAATGTTCTGGGCAGTAAAGTGGTCTGAGGTGTCCACATAAGTACTAAGAACAATGATTAAATAGAATTTTGCAGTCTTGTCCAAAACTTTTGTTGCCATGGGACTTTTCCTTCAAACAAAAGCTTCTGTAGGAGTCCAAATACAAACCCACGTGAAGGCAGGGTTGCTCCAGTTTGGGAAGGGGGGGAGGGGTTGGGCGCGGTTAAAAAAAAAAGTTTATTCGTAAGATTAGAAAAATTTAAATCATCATAGGAGAAAAGCTTTGAATTCATATTTATATCATAGTCTAAAGAAACACTGCTTACAGAGTGAAGTTACCCAAACCGACACTTCATTAGTTTTTAAAGTGAAGAGCTTTTGGATTTTAAGGACATTTTTACTTAAAAGCTAGAGAAGGAAAACGGCAACCCACTCCAGTATCCTTGCCTGGAAAATACCATGGACGGAGATGCCTGGCGGGCTACAGTCCATGGGGTCGCGAAGAGTCGGACACGCCTGAGCGACTTCACTTACTTAAAGGCATGAGAATAGGGAATATGACTTTTAGTCACACGGAAATGAGCCTTGGGTGGAAAATTTCAGATTTATGAACTATGTATGTTCTGCAGGCCCGGGGCAATGAGTCCCTAAGCCCCACCAGGTGGCGCGCATATTCGGCATTTCCAGAATGTTTAGTTCTCTAACTCAAGGGTCAGATGGCCTGCCTCGTGCTTTGTAGCTTTAGGAAATCCGATTGGATGTCACGCTCGAGAAAACAACACTTCTGTTCTTCTGTTGTAACCTTCTTCCCTTTCACTTTCGTCCCAAATAGACAAATCCGCCTAACCTTGGTGTTGCCAAGGCGTCTTAACTTTTCAGAAAAGGAAGGGGGAAAAAATCCCAGCCATTCCAAGGAGAAAGACCAGAAGAGCCTTCCTTCCGCGGCATCTGGCGCAGCAGGAGGAAGCCTGGGAGGCTGGAGAAGTTTTGGTTTAAGGCTTCGCCAACCACGTGATCGTTTCTGGCCTCAGTTTCTTCATCTTTAACATGGCTCTGAGCCATACCAGCCCGTGGCATCCCGTGGTAAGGGAGTCGGACCAACCACAGCTTAAATTATATAATTCCTAGTTAAATCTATATAAAAGTGGGATGTCATCCGGTATTGTTAAATGAAAGCGTTTGTCGCGCCGGTAGTGTCACAGACAAAATCCGTTTATTAATATTGCTTTCCTTCGTTAACTTACTGCCCGCCGGAGGGATGCCCCCTCAGTGCCCCTCAGTCTGACAAATTACTCCCTCTCCCCCCCACCCCCCCATTCTTTTAAAAATTCATATTCAAGGAAGGTTTTGGAACTCCAAGCTGAAACGTGTTAAGGGATAGATGGCCATGAGGAGCCAGTGGCACGTCGGAAAGCGAGGGCGGTTACTTCACAAACCCTCCGTCAGGGCCTTTCTCCCTCCACAGCCCGGATCCCCAGCCCTCAAACTGCGACCAGAGGACCTCCGCCGCCTTGAAGGCCGCCTCCTCCTCCCCATCTCCTGGGATCTCTCCACAGGCGCTTCCCGGAGGTGTGCCCCGCGGCGGGGGACGCTCGGCCCCGCCCCTGTGCGTCATCACGTACTTGCGCAGAGGCGTTTCCCGGGGGCGTGCCGCGGTTGCTAGGCGACCGCGCCGCTCCCCCTCCCGCCTCCCTCCCTAGCTGCTCCTCTCGCTCTTCCCGACCCGGGCCAGTCCCGAGCGAACGCGCGCGGAGCACCAGTGTCCAGACGCGAGTTCCCGGGGCAGCGTCGCGGCCCGGGAGGCAGCCGCCCGGGCGCAGGTGGACGCCGCCCGCCCGCACGCCTCTCCAACCGCCGCCCCTCCCCCCAGCGGGGTCCCGAGCTGAGGGATGGGCGGCACGGCTCGCGGGCCGGGGAGGAAGGATGAGGGGCCGCCGGGGGCCGCACTCCCGCCGCAGCAGCGGAGGTAACGGCGCCGCGGGCGTAACGGGCTGGGGCGCCCCGGTGAGCGCTGGCGCGGGCCGGCGGGGAGCGGGGCGGGGATGGGCGGGCTGGAGGCTGAGCGAACCCCCAGCGGGAGGGTTAGGGAAGGGGTCTGGCCCGCCGCCTTCTTCTCCATCCGCTGCCCTCCTCCCTAGCCCAGTGGGGGAGGAGGCTAGGGAAATAATTCCCACCCTGGGGTTCTCTCTGAAGCCCTCGATCGGGGATGTACGGTCAAGAAGTCCAAGAAGCTGGGACTTTTGTAGGGGCTTCTTAGCAAACTGGGGGCGGGGGGGGATGAACAGGGATAACCGAGGACTTTGCCGTGAGGGGTGTGGTCTGGCCTCGGGGTGCAGGTGTGGGGCTTTCCCCGGTAGGGCTTTTCTGTGGATCCTGTTGGGAGAGTTTTTCTACCTTGCATTGTATTTTACACCTTAATAGAAGGGACCCCTCCCCGCTCCCCACTTCATTTGCATGGACACTTCTTTGGCTCTTTATAGGAAATCTTGTGGGTCTTCCATCTGTCTTTGTAAATGTGGACGTCTGTCCCATTGTGTTTGTTTTATTCCTGCTGTTGGCAAAGAATCAGTCGCATCCAGAATTTCTGGTTCTTGTCAGTGAAGCAGTTCACGTTAAAGACATAATTCTATCAGAACGTGACTGTTTTTTAAAAAGAGAACATTCTAAAAATATTTGTAGTGGGTTGTTAGGGTTTGTTTTTTGAGCTTTTAAAAAACTCTCTGTATTTCTATAACACATTGATTAAGAAAACTCTAGAACTAATTCTGCAAAACAGTTTTACAAGCCACTGAATTATTGCAGCGGGCTTTTAAAGATTAAAAAAAAAAATTCTTCCCTGGCAGCTGGATCATTATCATTATATTGGTAGTATATCTTGTAAAAATAATACAGTGAAGTGCTGATGTGTGTTACTGGGAAGTCCGTGTTCTTGGTGGCAGTACATTATTCAGGGCCATCTTGTGGATTAAAGAAATCCTCTCTGTCTTTTGTGTTCCCTTCCAGTGGTGGAGGCACAGTTTTAAAGTACAGAGAAATAATCTGTAATCACTTGGCATTTAGCTTCCACCATCCACTGGAAAACTAAGTGGTTAAAGACATGAAACGCTTGTGATTTAGATAATTTCTTTTGTATTTGCTGTAGAATTCACTGTACTTTTCTACAAATTAGATAGATGTTAAGTAGGTAAGTAAAGAGAAGACAGCCCTAAGAAGGCCTTTTATTTCTTGCTTATAAGACCCAGAAAGGTGTAGACCGGAACTATTCTTCCCTTTACAACTGTGTAGAAGATGGCTCAGAGAGGGAGCTGGCGTAGCCAGTTTTAGAGCTGAAATTAAAATCCATGTCTCCGACTTTGAAAATACAGTCCTCCGTCTTGTTTGTTCTAGGTCGCTTTTAGGCTTCCGTATTTAAACGAGTCTTCGTTTTCAAGTAGTAAGTTAAATGAAATCCTCTGATAGTCCCTATCCTTAACGACGTTAGGAAAGTAAGAATTATTTTAACTGTTTCAAAATACAAACCTAGAAATACTTTTATTTCTTTAGATACAAAAAGGGAGAAGTTGGATTTTCTCTCTTCCTTTGCAAAATACCTCTAGTTTGTGTTCAGTGCCAAAATTCAAAGTGAACATTTTTTTTTCCCCACCATAATCATTTTTATTGGGATATAATTGCTTTACAATATTGTGTTAGTTTCTGCGGTACAACAGCGTGGATCAGCCACAGGTTACACATATATCCCCTCCCGGTTGAGCCTCCCTTGTACTTCCCCTGCCCCTCTAGGTCATCACGGAGCACCCATCTGAGCTCCCTCTGCTATATACATACTGCAGTTTCCCACTAGCTAGCTATTGTACACATGGTAGTGTATATACAGAGTGGACATTTGTTTGTATTAATTATTCTTTGTAGAAGGTAAGAAGTAGTTAAAACACAAGGTGTTTTGGAAATACAAATTTATTTACTTTCGTTACTGACAGATTTTATCTGTAATCCTTTCAACTAGATTGGGGGATGGTGTCTATGATACCTTCATGATGATAGATGAAACCAAATGCCCACCCTGTTCAAATGTACTCTGCAATCCTTCTGAACCACCTCTACCCAGAAGACTAAATGTAAGTAAATGAAGTAATTCTTTGAGCTTTAATGGTCCTCCTGAAAAGGAGGAAGTGCTACTTTGAATGATCAAGGTACAGTTACAGCTCACTGGTTAACCCAGGCTCTTTTTTTGTTTCTTTTTGGTTTCTCTTGACTTTGAAATAACAGGTTCTGAGGTCCAAGTTTAGCTTTTCAGAATGATTTTGATTTGGAATGCATTTCTTTATTCCTTTCAATTACTGGGATAAATAGGGGGAAAAAATAGCATGCTACTTTTGTCTAGATAATGGTAATTTTTTTAATAGAATGATAAATATATAGAGTGTATTATGATGGCTCATTTTAACAAAAACAAGGAACAGAAAATACCTGTGAACTTAGAGGTATGTTTTTTTCTGCAAGGTAGAAATGCAGTCCTAGCTTATTAGTATGCTTAAGAGAACCATTTTATAGATCATGAATAAAACTTGAACAGTACAGTTTGGTTTTGATGCATTTATTCATTTTGGAGCTTGCAGGCATTTAGCTTTTGACACCATTTTATTAAGGTAATAAAAAAAAAGCTAATTCTTATTCCCTCGGCACACATAGAGTGATAGGGAGAGTGGGGTTTGGACAAGTTCCATGACAGGGAGAAGCTATCCTGTGGTTTTAAAATTTGCTGCATGTCATCTAATGAACAAATTGAATAATTGAGCTGACTAATTTATCAATAATTCTCCTTCATATTTCTGTTTAAGACCTACAATTATTTCTATATAAAGAACTGCTTGCATTTTTCATAGTCCTTCCCAGCTGTTTGTCAGCTTTGCCACTAAAAATCAACCTTTTCACTGCTTTCAAGGCTAGTAATATTACAGAATATGGGCTAAATATATCTGGAAGGCCAGTAACCCTATTTTTAATCTCCTTTCTGGATTGCAATAAGTTTCCTTTCCATTCTCTGCCAGCTTATTTTTATAATATATAAAAACTTCTGAAAACTCCAGAACCATATATGTAGTTCTTGTGTTAACTATCAGATTTCTTGGTTACTTACTGACCATTAGCATATCTCTATAGGAAACTTTTGCAGTTGGTCATCATGTGACTTAAAATACATTTTAACTAATTTTTTAAATTAAGAGCTAAGCATTTATTAATTGATATAAATTATGTATAAGTTATAAATATTTTAAAAATAAAATTGCATAATTATTTTTAATATACATTAGTTTGGAAAGAACGCTAGAGAATTTGGAGATGATAATTGAATATAGATAATAGGCCATTTTAACGTCAGCACTGGCTATTAGTTGGCCAGTGCTAATTGTGTGTTAGTTGCTTAGTCATGTCTGACTCTTTGCAACCCCATGGGGTGTAGTCCACCAGGCTCTTCCATCCATGGGATTTTCCAGGCAGGAACCCTGGAGTGGATTGCTATTTCCTTCTTCAGGGGATCTTCCTGACTCAGGGATCAAACCCAGGTCTCCTGCATTGCAGGCAGACTCTTTACCATCTGAGCCACCAGGAAAGCTATCTAGTAGGTCAATTAAATTGCCTACTAATATTTCGGGATCATAATGAATTTTTTTTACTCTATGATACTCACAATAATACAGTTTTGGAAACACAAAGTTTTATGTTCTAACCCAATGGTGTGTTTGCAAACTTTGCTGAAAAAGTACTTTTGAGGGCTTCCCTGGTGGACTAGCAGTTAAAAATCCGCATGCCCATGCAGGCAACACAGGTTCAATCCCTGGTCCAGGAAGATCGTACATGCGGTGGAGCAACAAAGCCCGTGTACCACGGCTTCTGAGCCAGTAGCCGGGAGCCGGGCTCTGCAACGAGAGAAGCCCACACAGAGCAACAGAGACCCAGCTCAGCCAGTAGTAAATAAATACATTTCAAAAGAAGTAAACCTTTTTTTTTTACACTGCTTTCGACCTCTTAGTGACACTTGTAGCTCTTTATGCCGTGACTCCAGGACTCTGCTGCTCATTTCACAAAGTCTTTTAGCTTCGTTGTTTATCCGAGATGCCTTACATTCTCATTGTAAATGATAAATCATCTGCTCCTAGGCTTTTAATAGGTTAGCTTTGTGTTGCAGAGATTTAGGGTTGAGAGTGAGAGGGTGGTGTTCTATAACTACTTTAACATGTGTGTGGAATTGTAGATTCTTCTAGAACAATGAAAGAAAGATTTTATTTATAGCACAGCAGATTTGATACATAATTGATTCAGGCCAGTATTTGAGTTATTTACAAGAAAGGAAAGAAAGCTAAGAAAAGAACCCCTCCCTGTGTGGAAAAATTCCTTCCTGGAATTCTTCAGATGCATTGGAGATTCAGAACTTGACAGTCCATGGGGGCCTAGACCTGAAGTGTTGGGTTCTGTTCTGGGTGCCATGCTTGCACAAAGTGCAGCCTGTGGTGAGAACGTGGGATCACAAGCCGTGTGAGGTGGAGGTTGCGATGGGGATGATGAGTCTACAGAAAAACAATGGGGTAGAACAACCCTTTTAGGTATCTGAAGAGCTTTAGCGTGGAAATTTGGATACTCCTGTGTAAGTCCAGAGAGCAAAGTAAGACTTAAATTGCAGAGAGAGAGATTTAGGCTCATTTTAAGGAGAAACCACGAGTCAGCAAATCCAAATGACGTCCTTAATCTTACTGTAATAGTTGTGTGGCAGTTCATTTTCTGTTGTATATCTGTTCTTATTAACGTTCTGTACCTGAGACCCTCTCTTGATCACAAACAGAAATGAAGACCTCGAGAGCCAGGGCAGCCTTCCTTGTAGGCAGAGTTAGGTGAAGTACCCAGGGATGGACCCTGGACCACAGATAGCTTTCCTACCAGCTTGTCGAGCTCCTAGATAGTCATTCCTTTGGGTTAAGGAATGACTTAATCTTTATTAATTTTATTTTTAAATAAAATAAAGTTTTAAAATCTTTATTTTAATCTTCTATTAAAGTTCAAATAGCTCTGGAGAGGTGGTAGCACGTTAAATTGTATAGCAAGTTGCAAGCAGGTTTTATGTGGGGGAGAAAGTGGGTGAAGTGTTTCCATGCATCCTAAGAGAAGCCCAATCAAGAAGCCCTTCTTGGAGCAGAAGGCATATTTAATTCCAGACATCTGGTGGAGGGGGAGTCTGGAGCCACAGAGGAAGGCACCACAGAGAGAAAAGATAAGCTAGACGGGGAAGGGAGGGTGTATCAGAGTTTAAACCTTACTGTGTTGAGAATTTTCCCTAATTGTTACCAGTATTTTTAACCTGTTTTATCATTTGTGAAGGTCTTTCATATATATCATTAATTGATTCTCCTAACATACTACAAGGCAGTATTATCCACATTTTACAGATGGAGAAATCCAGGCTAAGAAACCGGACTAAAGGTTTTACCTGTCCTGGGACCAACAGTTTTGGAGCAGTGTTGCCATCCCAGCCAAGGCCTCTGACTTCATATTTTTTAAGAATGTGTCCCCAAGACTTTAGAGTAAATATTTAGATGCGTTTAGCCTAGATAATAAAAATGTTAAGAAAAACTGGTTGAGATGCATGCAAATGTTCGGTTTTGTTGTATATCTAGCTAAAATCAAACAATTATAATTCTTTAGTTCAGCAAAGCATGTCTCCTAATAGATTGTAGAGCCTTGAGATCACATGTTTTTTGGTAATCTCAATTGTTCACTACAACTACTTTTATAGTAGTAGTGAACATCCCTAAAAACAGGAATAATTATTTGATTTAATTGATGATAAGAAAAATGTTAATCCATGGCTGATTCATGTCAATGTATGGCAAAAACCACTACAATATTGTAAAGTAATTAGCCTCCAACTAATAAAAATAAATGGAAAAAAAGAAAAAGAAAAATGTTGCATTATATTTACATTTTAGCACTTCTTGACTAGTGATCATTCTCTGTTTTGGTATCAGAGATCTCTCCTGGTCCCTATCTTACCTCTTTATTTAGAAACCCAATGTCAAAGTATGGCTACAGTTGTACTGGCTGCTTTGCTTATATGTAAGATTGTGCAATGCCGCATTTTTGTAACTGTAGTACTCTATAAATGTTTAAATTGATTATAGGACAGGAAAAGGCCGGAACTAATATCCTGCTTTTGTAACTAAATTAGAGTCTGTCTAGACATGCTGGCACTTAATTTTTTTCATCCCTTTTTTTTTATTTGTATTTTTATTTATATAGATGATAGATTAGATGTTGTTTATTTAGGTCTTGTTAAAATTCTGTTTTTTAAATGTTTGGGCACTTTGGATCATTACCTTATAATTTGTATCATATTTTAAGAAATCATAACTATAGCTCAGAGCTCCCCTGAAATGATCATAGAGGCTCTCAGACACATCAGAGGTACAGTTGTTCAGATCCATTAAAAAAAATTGTTCTTGGAACTGTCCTGGAATTTTTTTTTTTTTTTTTGAACAGTGGATTTAGCATTTTTTCCCCTTTTCTTCTTCTTAGCACCTTCTTACATTTTTCTCTTTTTTTTTGGTGTTTGGTTTTTTGCTCTTTTTCTCCATCTATTTTCAAAGAATCTTATTTCAGAGATATTCAATAAGTAGAGTTTTCTTCTGTGGCTTACTGTTCCTTGCAGAAAAAGGTGATGCAAAATCAAGTAAAGAGTTGCGTGCCTCTGACGTGTAGGCTCTTGCTGAGGAAGAGTGGTGTATGTGTCTGTGAGAGAGAAAGAAGGAAAGAAGGAGGCTGTCTTTCTTAGGAGAGGCCCCTTTCCACAGGGGCCTTGGATTCTCACTGTTCCTCATCAGATACAGAAAGAATCGGCCTCCATGATCTCAGGAGTCTTCTCTGGATTAGAACTTTTGTGATTGAGTGAAGGGAGGTAGGAAGATGGAATAATTTATTTGAGGACCCTGGAGTAGATGATGAGGCCTTGGTTGATTCCAAACCGCAATCAGCACTCAGGCCTTACTGGAGAGTTAGAACAGACACTAGGAGAAGCTAGTGCCAAGTTGTATTAACGTTCTGACTGAGTCAGAAGCGCTGGCTTCACATCCTGCCTCTGTCCCTTTATCATTTACAGAACAGTGTAACATGCATTGTTTTGCTCCTGATACGTGCCCTTAAGATTTGGGAAGATACTTGGAAACAGGTGTGAACAGTGTAGGACAGTATGTATATAATCAGGTGCCAGATTATATGGTAGATGGAAAAGCTACAGTTGAGACGTGAGTGGACCCACAGTGCGGGCTTGGAGTGGCCCTGAGTAGGAGAGAGAGGACGAGACTCGGGCTTTGACAGAGTGTAGGATTCAAGTGGATGCGGTGGAAAGATCCTCAGTAGGAAGACACACCTGTTAGAAGGAATCTAGCTTGTTTAGGGTATGGTAAGATGACCATCTTGTCTGGAACAAAGCAAGACATATGTAGGGAGTTGGGTGCCCTTAACAGTCACGGAGTCTGAAGATTAGCATAGCATAACTTTCTAGGGACGCCTGCTTTTCTCATCTCACTTTTGGGTCTTTTAACTACACAACTGGACTATGGTTGTGATAAAAAATAAAAAAAATAAAAAAAAAAAAAACTACACAACTGGACATGTTTTGTTCAGTCCAGGGGAGGATTCTTCCATCCTTCCACTGTTTTTAGTGACTTTAACAGATTCGTTTCTCTTTGCCATAGATCACCACTGAGCATTTAACAAGAGATCCTACTCAACGCTTCCTGAATGGAGGTGAAATGAAGGTAGAACAGCTATTTCAAGAATTTGGCAACAGAAGAGCTGACGACCTTCAGTCGGATGGTATCAACGACTCTGAAAAATGCTCTCCCTCCGCTTCTCAGGGTAAAAGTTCAGATAGTTTGAATACAGTGAAACCCAGCAGTTCATCCAAAGCATCCAAAGTGGTACCTCTGACTCCAGAACAGGCCCTGAAGCAATATAAACATCACCTCACTGCTTATGAGAAGCTGGAAATTGTCAATTATCCAGAAATTTACTTTGTGGGTCCAAATGCCAAAAAAAGACATGGAGTTATTGGTGGTCCTAATAACAGTGGGTATGACGATGCAGATGGGTCCTATATTCACGTGCCTCGAGACCATCTAGCTTATCGATATGAGGTGCTGAAAATTATTGGCAAAGGCAGTTTTGGGCAGGTAGCCCGGGTCTATGATCACAAACTTCGACAGTACGTGGCCCTGAAGATGGTACGCAATGAAAAGCGCTTCCATCGCCAAGCAGCCGAGGAGATCCGGATTTTGGAGCACCTTAAAAAGCAGGATAAAACCGGTAGTATGAATGTTATTCACATGCTAGAAAGTTTCACATTCCGGAACCATGTTTGCATGGCCTTTGAATTGCTGAGCATAGACCTTTATGAGCTCATTAAGAAAAACAAGTTCCAGGGCTTTAGCATCCAGTTAGTTCGCAAGTTTGCTCAATCCATCTTGCAATCCTTGGATGCGCTCCACAAAAACAAGATCATTCACTGTGACCTAAAGCCAGAGAACATTCTCCTGAAACAGCATGGGCGCAGTGCGACCAAGGTCATCGACTTTGGCTCCAGCTGTTTCGAGTACCAGAAGCTGTACACCTACATCCAGTCTCGGTTCTACAGAGCTCCGGAGATCATCCTGGGAGGCCGCTACAGCACACCCATCGACATATGGAGTTTTGGCTGCATCCTTGCAGAACTTCTAACAGGACAGCCGCTCTTCCCTGGAGAGGATGAAGGAGACCAGCTGGCCTGCATGATGGAGCTTCTGGGGATGCCACCAGCAAAACTTCTGGAACAGTCCAAACGTGCCAAGTACTTTATTAACTCCAAGGGCCTGCCTCGCTACTGTTCTGTGACCACTCAGGCCGATGGGAGGGCAGTGCTTGTGGGAGGTCGTTCGCGGAGGGGTAAGAAGCGGGGTCCCCCAGGCAGCAAAGATTGGGGGACAGCGCTGAAGGGGTGTGAGGACTACTTATTTATAGAGTTTCTGAAAAGATGCCTCCACTGGGACCCCTCTGCCCGCCTGACCCCGGCTCAAGCATTAAGACACCCTTGGATTAGCAAATCTGTTCCCAGACCTCTCACCATTGAAAAGGTGTCAGGCAAACGGGTAGTAAATCCTGCAAATGCTTTCCAGGGACTGGGTTCCAAGTTGCCTCCAGTTGTAGGAATAGCCAGTAAGCTTAAAGCTAACTTAATGTCAGAAACCAATGGTGGTATACCTCTGTGCAGTGTATTGCCAAAGCTGATTAACTAATGGACAACGATGTGCTTAAGAGATGCATATGTATGTATTTTTAATTATCTTGCAAACCTGAAAATGGAAAAAAAAGCCCATTGGTGGATGTGTTTTTTGTCAATGTAGATTTCTTTTTTTTTTTTTTAATAAGGCAAAGCATTTTTATATGACTGTTAAAGAACTCTTCACAAGGGCTAGATTACCTAACCAGCTTGTATTGGCCATCCTGGAATATATATTAAAAGACTTTTTATAGGTCAGTGCATCTTTTGTTATTATTGGCAGGCATGCATCAACTTCCGTATTAAATTTGGTTGGTTTAAATCTCTTTCTCTCAAGGTAGAAGGTATTCCAGAAAGTATATCCTGATCATTAACTTCTAGATTCCCTCAGCATCTGTTCCAGAGGGTTAATCTGGGACATAGCTGTAGTTACAGGTGAGAGCCAAAGCGAGACCTCTTGTCCCAGCCCGTTGTCCTGTGGGCTCCTGCCAGAGGGAAGGGCTCACAGTAGAATGTGGGGTCTCCTGGAGAAGTCTGCTTCCAAGTGGCTCACTTCATTTCTGTGATGGGTGGTGTTTCTATTTTATGTTGTCATTGTTTTGCTGCTGATTAGTTTCCTGGGCACTGAAAGCATTTTACAGACATCTTGTGCTGAGTTGCTCAGTCGTGTCCAACTCTGACCCCATGAACTGTAGCCCACCAGGCTCCTCTGTCCATGGGATTCTCCAGGCAAGAACACTGGAGTGGGTTGCCATGCCCTTCCTCAGGGGATCTTCCCAACCCAGGGATTTAACCCTGGTCTCCAAATGAGCCAGGACATTAAAGGTACAGCGTGCAGATGGCTGCTGCATCTCCATGGATTCTTTCCTCATGACATGATCACCGTCACGTGGAGCTGACCACAGCCTCATCACTTCACTCCTCTTTCCAACTGTCTGCCAGCTTAACGTGCCACAGTTCTGTCACTTTCGGTTTAAGCAGAAGACTATTCCCTGGATTCAGAGAGAGCTTCAGTTATGAGAAAATCCAAAAACTGTAATTCATTTCATTTTTTCTTCACTTAAATATTCTATTTCTGTGCTAACATTTAAACAGCGAGGGCTAGTAATAAAGCTAATTGCTAACCAGATGCCGTCCTCAGAAGGGTGGGAAGGGACAGCAGCTGACGCACTTGCTGACTTGCTTTCTTCCCCCTGTCCTTCCTCTGCTTCTATCCTCCTCCAGAACGGGAGTCCACCCAAATGCTGTCCTGACGGGGTGCTCTGCAGAGTAGACCGTTGCTTTCTCTAACACCGTTCTCAGAGTTATCCAGTTCTGGTTTTCACATGGAATTTAGTCTCTGCAGATTCCATAAGATGGGGAGGAGGCTGGTTTTGTTGGACAACACAGAAGAAGAAGGAACATGCCACGGGCACTTTGCTTCAGGAATTTTTTCCCCGAGCAGAAGTTTTCCTGATGGCCACAGCACAGGCTGTGAGAACAAATGTCCGGAGCGCAGCCCCAGCCTCTTGGGTGCAAGGCCACAGGCAGGACAGGGTTCAGACTGAGGCCCAAGCCTCTTAAAAGGGGATGTCCTGGTACTTCTGGGGCCTGAGCAACTATATTTAAAACCTTAGTTATTTGCCCTACCCCTGGTTTGCAGAAGGCAATGGAATATGCAAGTCCTTTGAGCCCTTTAACTCTCGCTAAACACTCTGACTTGCAGAGAAGTTGTGTAAAACTCCTGCATTATCTACGCAGAGCATATGTTGAAGTGGTTTTTCCAGTCGTTATCACACAGGGAGACCTGCTCTCTTCAGCAAACTGTTAAAAGGACTGAAACCTCAAACGCGTCTGCCATGTGCTAGAGATTTCGATGTTTGTGTTGTCGGTGAGCTGTCTCCTTGGTCACTCAGCGCTGTGTGTGACTTGGGAGAGAAGGGAGCCTGTGGTCCGATTCTGTGTATTGAACGAACCATGAAATTACAGAACCCGGGCCAAGTGACAGGATATAGACAACCCACGACACTGTATAAATTCTAGAAAGCTCTGGGAAGGTGAATGGATGTGTTTATGCCTAAATTTGGCAGCCTAGAGGGTGACGCAGAGCAGAGTCATTCAAGTTGGCATGCCTGGCTGTTGTGGGCTTCTTCAAGTTTGGGGAGAGTGGGCTGCTCGAAAACACTGTTTGTGCCAGATGGATTTGGAGAGGTTATGAGTGCATTTCAAGTTTGGGGATAATTGCAGTTTTTAGAATCTGTCACACTGTGCCCCCTTTTTCCAGCCATTGTCAGATACTGCTTGGATCCCTGCCCAGCCATAGCACTGAGTAACTGAATTGGATCAGAGCTGATACAGCGACTCAGGCTGTGTATTACAGTTATTGGATTGTTCTTTAGCCATTTTCGTTATTCCAATTAAATAGGTCAAGTTGGTTGACTTATTGATTTTTAAATTGAAAAAAATCAACTGAGTTTCCAAATTGTTACTGACATAGTACAGAGCTGGGTAGGAATGTTTATTTCATTCCTAAAATCATGGTTTTCTTTCAACGTGGAACACTGACCTGTCCAGCTCATGCCTGCTCACCTTATCAGACCCCATCCCACCTTCTGCTGTCGCCGTGATTGACCTGTCTGTCGTGTGCTGTCACAATTCCTTCTGCGGTCGCCGTGATTGACCTGTCTGTCGTGTGCTGTCACAATTCCTTCTGCTGTCGCCGTGATTGACCTGTCTGTCGTGTGCTGTCACAATTCCTTCTGCTGTCGCCGTGATTGACCTGTCTGTCGTGTGCTGTCACAATTCCTTCTGCGGTCGCCGTGATTGACCTGTCTGTCGTGTGCTGTCACAACTGCTGTCGCCGTGATTGACCTGTCTGTCGTGTGCTGTCACAATTCCTCCCTTGTTAGAGTGCAAGCTGTGAACAGGCACGCCCGTCGTCATGAAGCTCTGCGCTAACCGGTGGTGATGCTCCTGAGAGCGTACATGTGCCGGGGGCTGTTTTCCTCCGTGCACCACAAGTGTGCTCACCTCTTGTCTTCTTTCAAATTGACCTACACAGTGAACCTCTGACCCCTTCTTTCTGAGAGAGGATAATTAGAGAAGGGTTATGTGAGGCCGCCTTTTTCTGATCCAATATTTGACATTTGATGATAATGAAAAAGAAAAGGCAACCATAACCTAACTATGATACAAAGATTCTACTTCTGTCCCATAAGGGCTCCATGAACGAAGAGAGAGTCTAGCCTGGATCTCCTTTCCTGGAGGAAATTGATTATGACCATACTAGCATGCTTTATCCCAAGGTGTTTTTGTTTTTTGAGTTTTTTTAAATTTTAATTAGGGGATAATTACTTTATGATATTGTGATGGTTTTTGCCATACATCAGTTTTACTCAGCCACAGGTGTACATGTGTCCCCTTCATCCTGAGCCCCCTCCACCTCCCTCCCCGCCCCACCCCTCTGGGTTCTCCCGGAGGGGCTTTGGGTGCCCTGCTTCACGCACCCCACTTGCCCTCATCATCTGATCTACATATGGTAATGTACATGTTTCAGTGCTTTTCCCACAAACCATCCCACCCTCACCTTCCTCTACTGAGTCCAAGAGTCTGTTTGTTACATCTGTGTCTCCTTTGTTGCCCCGCGTGTAGCATCATTGGTACCATCTTTATAAATTCCACATATATGCATTAATATACAGTTGTTTGTCTTTCTCTTTCTGACTTACTTCACTCTGTATAATAGACTCCAGGTTCATCCACTTTATTAAAACTGATTCAACTGCATTCCTTTTTATAGCTGAGTCATATTCCATTGTGTATATGGAAGCTTCCTTATCCATTCATCTGCCTTTGGACATCTAGGTTGCTTCCATTTCCTAGCTCTTGTAAATAGTGCTGTAGTGAACATTGGGGTACACGTGTCTTTCAGTTGTTCCTAGGTATTTTAAGGGGACTTGGGACAGATAGGTTAGCTAACTAGTGTCATTATATTTTAGTTTTCATGGCACTGAGTTTTTAAGAATGGGGTTTTTACATGATCAAAAAACTGAACAAAAGATTAAAAATTTAACTGTGAAACTGAATCTGTAGCAGCTGGTCATGTTGAAACTTTATGTTTTGCTTAATTCCTAACTAGACATAAGTAAAGTTAAATGCTAAATTTTAGGTAGCAGGTGATACATGGTTCTAAGCTTTCCTGACTAACAAGAGTACACCTACTGCTTTAGTGAATCATGGAAAATTCTTTCTCATTTATTTTTAAGGATTTCTCTTGCATCTGTTATTCAGCGTCACAAACAAGGAAGTTGGCAGGGTGACAGTGATTGTTCCAGACTTCATCTGAATGCTTTTTTTCTCCTCTGAGAATGAAGGATAGGTACTTATCCCTTGAATTAGGTGGAACTGCCGGAGCACGTTTTCCTCCGTTTCTTCAGTCTCACCGGAGGTGACCAGGCTGTACAACTCCACAGCTTACTATGCACAGAGCAATTGCAGTCACCCACACGTGAGGAACCTGGAGCCTTCCGAACAAGGAGAGAGGAGGCCAGAGGCTGGCAAGTCGAGGACTCGCTGTCCCCTCCCCGGGATCAGCCGCTCGCTTTACGATATTCTGAATCTCTTCTGTGTGTCCCACTTTCACCCTCAACCCGTTCTTCCTGAAGCCCGCAATTTTACAAGAATTTACTTCCAAGCCAGACCTCCAGCCAGCATGTGACCAGGGGTAATCCCTTCAGGTGTGTCAAGTTATGCCTACTATTTCAGTGAGAGGAGTTTTTAAGCAAATCCATCCATGTAAGGACTAAAAGCTCTGGTTGCTGAGAGCCATTTTCCCTGAGATAAGCCAGAGCTACAAATATATCGTCTAGCCTTTGAAAGAAAGGATACGATTCTTAATATAGCTCACCAACCACTAAGTCAAGCTCAGGCTGTCATGATTTTTTCTATAACAGGAGAAGTATGCCTGCCTGCCTGCCTGTTGACGCAAAAGACTCTCATCTCTTACGCTACCACACAAATAAATTAGAAAGAAAGGGC